TCATCACCAGCATAAGCATCATCATCAGCAGCATGATCATCAGCATCATCATCATCATCATCATCATCATCATCATCATCATCATCGCCATCGTCATCGAAAGATCATCATCAACAGCATCAGCATCAGCATCATCATCGTCCTCTTCCTCCTCATCATCCTCCTCTTCCTCCTCATCATCATCATCATCATCATCCTCATCCTCATCCTCATCCTCATCAGCATCATCAGCATCAACAGCATCATCAGCATCATCATCGTAATCAGCATCATCAGCATCATCCCCAACAGCAGCAGCAGTCGCAGCGGCAGCATTATCGTCATCATTATCATCGTCGTCATTATCCTCCTCCACCTCCTCATCCGTCTCCTCCTCCTCATCACCTTCTTCATCAGCGTCATCACCATCATCACATGCATCATCATCGTCGTCGTTGTCGCCGTCAGCAGCAGCAGCAGCCGCGCCAGCACCATCATCACCATCATCATCATCAACATCATCATCATTATCATCGGCATCATCATCGGCATCACTAGCATCATCATCTTCATAATCATCATGATCGTCATCGTCACCATCGTCACCATCATCACCATCACCATCAGCATCGTCAGCATCACCATCACCATCGTCACCATCGTCCTCGTCATCAGCATCATCAGCATCATCAGCATCAGCATCATTAGCATCATCATCACCACCACCATCAGCATCATAATCATGATCAGTTTCGCCATCATCCTGTATCCTTCCTTTGATGGTGAGACCGATCGATATGGAAATCGACCAGGAACCCGGGGACCCAGGAGCCCGGCGGCCCACCGACATCGGCCGCCTACTTTCGCCAGATCCTTCAAGATCCGCTGGGACCCCTTCAGTGCAAGCACTGAACAAGTAACTGGGAACCCAAGAATCCAGAACCGGGAACCCGGGAACCCAGCGGCCCACCGAAATCAACCGTATATGTTCGTCAAATCCTCCAGGATCCGCTAGGATCCCTTCAGTGCAAGCACTGTTTGGGAAATGCACAGATATTACACCAGAGAAGAGCCCAAGTCAGTGGATGGTACTGAAATTAGCGTTATGGATATTGAGATCGAGTGTGAGATCGATAATGAGATCAATAATGGGATCGATATTGAGGGCGATAATAAGGTCCATCATTAGACCGAAAAAGAAGTCGGTTCAGTGAGATCGATAGTGAGATCGATCGTGAGATCGCTCCTGCGATCTACAGTGAGAGCGATTGTGAGATCGATAATGAAATCGATTGTGAATTCGATAGGGAGGTGGGTGATGAGATCGATGGTGAGGCCAATCGAAAAGCAGATCGACCATGAACCCGGGAACCCGGGAACCCCAGCGCTCTCCGTAATCGGCCCGAGAATCGGCCCGGAACAAGCAATCGGAATACCGGGAACCCGGAACCGGGAACTCGGGAACACGGGAACCCGGCAGCCCACCGGAATCGGCCGCCTACTTTCGCCAAATTCGTCAAGATCCGCTAGGACCCCGTCAGTGCAAGCACTGATTTGGGAATGTACACACCGTACACACAGATGTGCTGATACACATGTGTACACGCATACATGTATATACAAGCCAAAAAACACGGTAGAACATAGGCATCCCAACGCAGCAACACGTAAAGGCAAGAAACAACAGCAAACAACACAACAATGCAACACAAAATTCAACACGTAACGAAGTCATTGTTTGACACCCTGATGCGAGCAGGACCTGAGACGCGCGGGGCACCGCTGGAGGACGGTGCCGCCCCCCGCGGCAATGCTGGCGGCACCGCGGGACCGCGGCACCGTGGAGCAGCGGCTCTCGCGGGCACCACGGGCGGCGAGCCCTCTCGGGCCACGGCGCGTGCGCGCGCTGGGGCCTGGCCTTCCCGCGCGGGAAGTCGTCGTCGTCGTCGTCGTCGAGGAGAGGAGAGGAGAGAGGGATGGGGAGGAAGGGAAGGGAGGGAGAGGCAGAAGAGAAGGGAGGGAGAAGAAGAAGGAGGGGAGAGTAGAGAGGAGGGAGAGGGAGGGGCAAGCTGGGTGTGCTCGCGTCAGATCTGGCGTCCTACCCATCCCTCCCATCCACAAAACATGGCGTAGATCTCCTTTTTATGCGCACAGTCGGATGTCGTAACAGGGCATAGCATTACATGGCATAGCATGGTGTTGAAGATAAACGCATACTTAGACTGACATAGCATGGCGTGGCGACGCCCCAAAGTGTGGGGGGGGGGGCTTCTGCGACCCAAACAAATCAACCAGCCGACACCGAATGTGGAATCACTTCCGATGGTTGTTTCGGGGAGCATTTTCTAGATTTTGGTGCCTAGTTGGCAGGACCGAAAACCATGCCGTGGATCATGGCGTTGGAAATAATGACGCCAGCGCTGCAGCGTGAGCACAGTCGGAACGAGCGGAAGCGCGGAAATGATGCCAGCGCTGCAGCGGGAGCGCGATTCGGAACGAGCGGTAGCCCGAAAATTACGCCAGCGCTTCAGCGCGAGCAGCATTTTTAAAACAATATAAAACAAGCGAAAACCAGTTTCCCGGGAATCCTGTGTTAAAACAATACGCGGAGAGGGGCCGAATACTTCCTGGACGTCACCAGGAGAGAGAGGAGAGTAGTACTCATATTGTGTAAACGTAGCGGGAGAGAGGGGAAGGGGAGAGGGGAGAAGAGCGGGGAGAAGCAGAGGGGGGGAGAGGGGAGGTGAACGGCGTCCCCACCCAATCTCCCCTCTCCCCTTTCCCTGCCCCTCTTCCTCCTGCCCCCCCCCCTCGACAGGCCCTGGCCCCGCCGGGGGAGCGGCAGGAGCCCCGCGCACGGCGCGGCGAGGCGAGAGAGAGCCTGGCGAGTCGTCGGCGCCGCTGCTCCTTGCTGGAGGCGCCGAGGCCGCCAACTACGGTCGGGGACTATTGCACAGCGCGTCGGCGCGGCGGACCCGGCGACACGCCATGCCCTGCCAGCGGATAGCGTGCCCCTCCCCTCCTCAAGGCGAGAGGCTCGGAAAGGCTCGGGCCGTTGACGCCTGGGGGCCGCGCCGTGGATAGCGTGTCGCGCCGAAGCGCGGTGGGCCAGAACCGACGCAGCGACACGCTATCCAAAAACTCACGGCCGTATCCACCAACACCGATGTTGGCCAGGCGCATCATGCACTGCCAAAGATCAGTCATGCCACTTTCATCGCCGATTTGTTTAGTTTCGTCGCCTGCGGCTTCTCGTCGTCTTTGGCCTCCGGGGGCCGTTCACGGGCCCTGGAACCGTCAGAAACGGACCCGGGATGAGAAACTAACCCCAGGGGAGCACCCTGGACGATTCTGTGACACGACCTGCAAAAGCTGCACTACTTTCCCAGGGGGATGTAGGTCCAGGATCACTGTGTACGCCCTCCTGGCTTGGGCAGGAAGGCACATACATCGGCTACGCGCAAGAGTGACCCTAGGCTAGAGCGACCCTGGGTGCGCGACTTTCGAGGGCCGTGGGGAGGCCAAACCCGGGCGCGCAAGACGAGGCTGTCGCATCGCGTTCAGTCGTCGAGGGACCCCGGTGACCCCGTTCCGAACGTCACTCGGGCGAAAGACGACGACGACGACGACGACGACGACGACGACGACGACGACGACGACGACGACGACGACGACGACGACGACGACACTTCTGCGGCAACTGCGTGCATCCGAATGCACCGACCCGGGGCCCGGGGGCCGGCCTGGCCAGGGTCGGTGCTTGTGCACAGCCGGTGCCCCCCGAGCCACCGCAGGCCGCCCGGGGGGGCCCCGGCGCACGGGGAGGGCCGCCGTCGGAGAGAGGAGCCGCGGGCGCCTCGGGCGGTGCGCGGGCGCCCAGGTCGCCGCGGGCCCGAGCCCGTGCCACGGGGCGGGGGTGCCGTGCGGAAGTCCGCTGGCGCCTGGGCAGCGCCAGGGAGCGGGGAGGGGCGAGGCCAGCTCGCCAGATCGAAAGGGGGGCCTGGCGCCTGGAGAGGGGGAGGGCCTCGAAGACCTCCGAAGGGCCGCCCTGCCAGCCTTACTGAAGGCTTTGGGCCATAAGCCCTGCCTGGTCGATTCGATCCTAACAATCAACCCCGGTCGGTATGGTTCTAAGCTTACACGGGGCGGGGGCCCGCGAGGGAAACGGCCGCGTCGTGGTGTGAACATGACCGCGCGACGCTGGCCTGATGGCGAATCCGGGGAATGGCCGGGTGAGCGTCCACAGGCGCCAGTCACGCAGGAGTATTCATCCGGAACTCGCTGGGCACTGTCACGCCGTGGCCACAGCTGGCTTTCAGGGTCGGGGGTGCCACACAAAGAATACGGTGTCTGGATCGGGGGGTCGGGGCTCGTGGTTCGGGCCTTCCTTCCGGGCTTCGCGCCACATGCTTCAGGCCAGCGGCGAGCTGGCTGCCTGCGGGTGTGAGCGCTTCTCCAGTGCGGCTCGCTTTGCTGCTGGGTGGCCTGGAGGACAACACGCAGCGTGCGGGGCCGCTGTCGGGATCAGGCAAGAGAAAGGCGAGACTGCCGCCAAAACTCCAGGCATCGTCCACGTGCATCGGCGGCGAGGGATCCGTCTCCACCAGGACATCGGCCTCGAAGATGGCAGCCACGAGGCGGGATACAGACGCTGGGGCACCTGCCGCTGGCTCTTGGGCCAGGGCCAGGGTGGCGGAGCACAGCCGCCAGCCTGGCCTCAGGGTAAAGGCTCTTACGGTGGGGCAGCGATTGGTTCGAGAGGGCAGGTCAAAGACCGTGACGAGGGGACGAAGAGGAGGGCAACAACAACGAGAAAATAACCGCTTACACCTCCGGCTCTGCCTCCCCTTCCTCCTTGCCCTACTGCTTGTCATCCCCCTCCTCCAACACATTCCTCCGTGAAGGGGCTACGCATGCCTTTTCTGGCCCCTGGTCTCGCAGTAGTGGATCCACTTGATCTTCTCCGTGGGGTCACTCCGCTGTTGGCCGTTGGGCTCATTGTCAAGACCAAGGCCATACATTTCTGGGAATGCCGATGCTTACACTCGACTCGCCGCAAAGCACTACAATCAAATACAACGGAGTTACTTGTGCGTTCGGTGCTGCTGGTCAACGACTGCGAACAACGACTCAACAGCCTGCGCCTGCCGATGCTGCCGCCGCCGCTGTAGCTGCTACTACTGCTGATGCTCACTGTTGGGAACTGTCGCTCAGCGTTCGTCGCTCCGTTCCGCGGGGCGGGAGGCTGGGAAAGACTCGGGACGTGTTTGGGGAAACTTCCGCTACCCGCCACCCCCTGTACCTCTCCCGAGAAGCGTTCTGACCAAACATCCCAGGCGAGCCGAGCCGTGGCAACGATGAAAGGGTAGCAGTATCGGAAACTGTTCCTCTTGTGAACGCTCACTCCTGGAGACCACGACGTGGTTCGCGTGTCGCGCAGAAGCGCGATGGGCCAAAACTGGCGACGCGGCATGCTAAGATAAAATTCCTGACCAAAACTATCCAGAGAGCGCCCCACGACCCTGGTGAGCCCCCAGGGCCTCTGGGGGAACGCCCTGCTGGCAGGTCAACTCCTTACCAAACGCACCCACTTGCAGCCATGGAAGGCGAGAACACGCGCGCACTGGAGTGCCCGACGCTGTCTCTTTTGCACAACGTCGACCCCCCTGAATCGCTTGTTTCCGGCCCAAAACCTGGCAAGGGCCCCTGGAGGCCGAAAGCAACGAAAAACCTCCCGCCGTGTTTGTAACGACTTCGGCGTCGGCGGCGGGGGGTGCGAAGCCTGCGCGACACGCTGAACCAAAATTCCCGACCGTGCCCTCCACCATCATCGCCACTCTCCTTGGCCCCTCCATGGTCTCCGTGCAGGCCTCCAGAGACCTCTGCAGGATTCCCGATGCGAGTGTATGGTGTGAAGACAGAGAGAGTGAGAGAGAGAGAGAGAGAGAGCGAGAGAGAGAGAGAGAAGAAGAAGAGAGAATGAGAAAGGAAAAAACAGCGAAAGAGAGAAAGAGAGAGAGAGAGGGAAAAAAAAAAAAAACGCAGGAGACAGAGAGAGAGAGAGGAGCGAGAGAGAGAGAGAGAAAGAGAGAGAGAGAGAGGAAAGGAACAAAAAAACTGGAGAAAGAGAGAGAGAGAGAGAGACAGAGCGAGGGCATGGCGAATCTGCTGGTTCGACTTACTGGCGCGTCGGAAGAAAAAGTGCACGGGGAGATGGGGCAAAAAAGCCAGGTCCCCCCCAGGGATCCGCAGGATGTGACCGACGACCTTTTCCCTCTGGGTAGAAGGGCAAGGGTCCTCAGTCACATATGATGGGGGATGGGGATCCAAAGGGTACCGTTACCGCTACTCCCCGGACCTCTCCTGGGGTGCGCCCTGGCTAGAATCCCATCTGCGGTTTAAGGCATTAGTGGTTTATTGTGCTTCCCCTTTCCAACCCCCTTGTTCGCCACCACTGCTCCCTATTACTATACACCCCCGAACCCCCCCCGATCAGCAGCCCACCTGGACCCATGCCAGCACCCTCTCCACCATCCATGTTAAGAAACAAGATTGATTACACTTCGCCTCCAAGACTGGAGCATGCGCGGGCGCCCCGCGACCACTTTGCATTGGTCTGTGAAAAGGACGGCGGGGGTGCTGGCAGATTGCTTGCTGCGCGCAGGCCAGCCATGCGTGTTATAAACCATACACAATATCATGTGCTTCCAGATATGGAGCATCCGCGGGCGCCCCGCCTTTGCATGGGTTTACCATGGACGGCGGGGGTGTCAGCATGCTGTTTGCTGCGCGCATGCCAACCATGCCTGTCAATAAACAGCACACTGTGCTCTTTGAGATGACATCTGGATCATGCACGGGCACCCCGCGATCACTTCAGTTGCTGGCGACATCCTCCTTGTACTCTTCCCGGGGGACATGCTGTTTTTTGAGCTTTCACGTTCTCAACCGATGGCAGCACACTAGGTCTGTCTCGGGGTGTACGTGATCCGATTACCTTGATAATCTGGGAAAGAATACGCAACCTTTTCCTGTGACTCAGGGGCCCCTGAACATCAAACGGCAGCGGTACTACCATAATCAAACACTGTGCTAATAAACAATGCAACTGGCACTGCATACACAAATGAAAACTCAATGAAACATGGGTGATATTGGCACGGCCGGAAAAAGGAATTAGCACATATACATAACAAACCACACTGCCTAAACTCAGGGTTCCCCGGACGTTTACCAGGAGACTCAAACGGCGAACTCAAACTAAAGCTGAAAACTCCAAGCTTTCGGGAACGAGGCCGAAACAAAACCACAGATAAACATCACTGTCACCGCAGGCCCCCTGCACAAGCCAGCCAAACTCGAATGTGAAACATACCGGCGGTCGCGTCAGCGACATACATCTCCTTAATGATTTCAGCACGCCGGGCGATCGGTCGATCTCGCCAGGCAAGCAAGTCCGCGCCTCGTGGGCGCTCATCTGGGTGCGCATCACGATGCACATCAGCTCCTGCGGCATCGCCGCCACGTTGCCGTAGGCTGGGTCCCCGTCGTCGTCCTCTATCCGACGAAAGCTCCGTGTGCGTACTCGGGCAGCGGCTGGAACCTCGGCGTCTGCGCATCCTGGCTGTAGCGGCATTGCGCCTGGCACATCATGTGGCGCACCTTCTTCTGGCGTGGCTGCTTGGTGTTCACACCTGTCGTCATCATCTCGATCCCCTGAGGCTCACGCGGCCGGATGCTCTTCTGCTCAGCGCCCGTCATAGTCCAGCGTGCCCAGCAGGTGCCGACCCAGAATCCACAGCCGAAAGCCACGAGCATCGCCATCATGAATCCGAACATGGCCAGCTTCACCAGCAGGTTGTCCCAGCCGTCGTTGGTCGGTGGGTGGAACAGCTCGACGCCGCTGGGCGTATACTGCACCACCTCAGCTCCAGAGCCAGTCGCTCTCGTGGCCGCCAACGTAGCTGCCAAACGAGCTCCACTCGCGCCAAAATGGCGCGTCCTGGCCTTAGCCTTCGCATTCGCCACGGGCTCCTTCTCGAAGGTATCGAGCAACTCCTCTCCTGCCTGGTTCAGCTCCTTCTCGCGTTGCTCCAACGCGCGCTTGGTGAGCTTCTTGCCGGCCACGAAGTCGGGGTCGCAGCGCAAGGCATGAACTCCACGGCGTAACACATCCGCCATCATCTGGCGCGCCGAAAGCTTGGTGAGTCCGTCCGCCATCTGCTGCTGGGTGCTCACCCACTTCCACCTAGCGTTGACCTCCGCCAGCTGCTCGTTCACGATCTTCACCTCGATGGCCGCCCTCTTCTCTGCGATGCCTAACCCCGCCGTAGCTGACCGCGAGGCGTCGTAGAGGCACTTCGCGTCTGTGATGAACGGTGACTCTCCGAGGTATGTCATGGCGGCGTCGTGTCCGAGGTCGGGCCTCAGATTCAGGGCCAGAAAGACCTTCACCCACATCAGCGAGTCGGCCCCCATCGCCGCGGCTTGTGCCTCGGCGGACAGTGAGCTCCTGCACAACCGCACCAGCTTCTTCGAGGCCCACTCCAGGGCCACGAACGGCGTCGGGGTGCCGGCGTTGAGCTCGTCCATGGGTCCGACGAAGATCTGATAGCCTCCTTGGGAATTTCCGTCAGGTCGGCTGGCCCAGCTCGCATCTGAGTAGCCTCCAACGCGCAACTCACTCCACGGCCTGCCGACGCCGAGGTACAATCCCACGTCCGCGTTGGCCTTCAGGAACCGTGAATCTTTGTTCGCGTCCAGCAAGTCCTGCACCGTCGCATGTCCAGCCGCTGCGGCTCTGAACGATACGGTCGCCGCCGCGATGATAACCCCCTGGGCTGCCGGCCACTGCAGCTGGCCGTTCAAGGTCTTGAAACTGGTGAGCTCCTTCGGCGACAGCGCACTGGTGGGATCTGCCCGCTGGTGCTTCTCCACGGAGATGGGCTTCACCGCGTGCAGGTACTTCTCGAACTTGATGGTGATCGCGTGGGTGCGCAGGGACTGCTCCACCTCGCCGCCGGTGAAGACTAGGCTCGGCCCGAACTCCCACTTGCCGAACTTGAACTTCTCGTTGAGCATGCCCAGCCGCGCCTGGAAGCACTCGGTGTCGTCCAGCTTGGCGTACAGGTCATCCTCGCACCTCACGTTCTCGCCGCAGCCGATGAAATCGTCCACGTGCTTGCCGATCAGCCCGTCCACCACGAACGTCTGGCCGTCGAAGCTGCACACGTCGAACGGGTCGTCCGAGGGTCGCGCGGTCCGCAAGGACAGCAGCAAGCAATCCTCGAGCCAGTGGTTCTTGAACCCGATCTCCCTCGTGACTTCGTCGGAGCGGTAGCGCCAAAGCTTAGGCGACCGCGGGTCCCCAAAGCAAGGCTTGATCATCTTGAGCAACTGTCCTGGCTGCAAGCCGATCTGGCGTACAAGCATTTCCCTCATCTCCTTCGTCGGGCTCGCGCACAGCTTGATGCCGTGAGCACTGACGTCCTCGGCCTGCAGGAGCGCGGATTTCACATCCGCAGCGAACAGCATCCACCTCCTCAAGGCCGCCCAAAGCATGACCGTGTGTCGGCCAAGCCTGCTCAAAGTGGGCGCCTCCTTGTCGAGCTGGCCCTCGGCCACGTCGCGGTGCTTGAAACCCTGGTAGAGCACTCGCGCGTTGGCCACTCGCTGCCCGTCCTTCACCTTCCACTTCAGCAGGAAGCGTAGCGGGCAGCACGCCGCTGGGTCCACCTCCGCCTCGTCGATGGGTTCCCAGCCGTCGTTCTTGTTGAACACCTCGAGGGCCTCCAGCTTGGCTGCGTAGAACTGCTCCCGCTCTTCGGGCGTGAGCCCCGCCTCCACGACGGCGGGGACCTTCCTCTTGAAAACCAGCATGTAGATCGTCTCGGTGGATTCCTCTAACAACATCATCTCGTCGTCCACCTCCTCGATGGGACACGACTCCCCCTGCTGCGGCGCGAGCCTGGCCCACGACATGCGGGCGCGTTTTGCCAAGGGGATGCCGCCCAGCTTCTCG